GCCCGCCGTCCCCCTGCCCCGGGCCCCGCGCCTCTGGTGCCCCGGCGTGTTCCCTCACCGCCCGGGCACAGCTTGGGCAGCGTCCTGCCTCCCCAGCGCCCCACACTCATCCTGCTGGCTCACAGGATCCTGGGGCACTGCTTAGGCATTGCAAACCCCTTCCCTGCTCACTCCTTTTTTTCTAAGTCCCTTGCCCAAAAAACGTTATTAGATGCTATTAGTACGTTCAGTTTGGTTTGCTTGTTTTGTGGTGCTTGATTTTTTTTCACTAGCATGCTAGGATCAGATTGTAAGTCTTCACACCCTGATTTAAATGACCCCTTTTCTCTCCTAGTACTGGCAGTACCTTCCTCCCAGTGCTCTTCCTGTTCATATGCCACTGATGTAAAACGTGATACTTCAATTTTGCTTACCCACTATGTTCTGTAATTCCATGTGATGCTCTCACAGATCTTGCTTCATTATGCACTGCATTTTGTGGCTCTTTAGGATTCTAGCACATAAGGGGGAAAATCCCATACTGCTTGCTATTTCTTGACTCATATTTTTCCCTCCCTGATTTCTCCTGCTTTTCTTACAATTGTACCTTTTTCCTCTGGGACTTGTCAGTCTCTGTGATTCTTGTCGAGCTGGGATAAATGTGAATAACTTTACCCCAGAGCTTAGGTCCTGATTCTCTCATCCTGTGACCCCCAGGCTTGGGCCATGGCCACAGATGTAGTGGAGCCTGTGGTCCCTGACTGCAGGGGAGATGTGAGGAGTGGAGCCAGGTCAGACGCCGACTATCCTCTTCGGGTTCTCTACTGTGGAGGCAAGTGCTGAAGGGGCAGTCATCCCTGAGTCTTATAATTACTGTTTGAGAGCAGCCTAGCAGAAAAAATGAAAGAATTTGAGACTTTCTTTGAGACCACTGTCAGCTTGGCCTCACTGATTGTCTTTCTGAAGTAGCTTGTGTTGTGTATTTTATCTGATGCATGTTTGGTGGAATGTAGGGGTCTTCCCCCTGAGAGCTGGAGGCACTCACAGCTTTCTGTGTGTAAAAGAAGTGGGAACACTGCTCAGCTTGAGAACTGTTGAGCAGAGATCACTACCTGTAGAAAGCCAATAAAGCCTTTAGCAGAGGAAAGGTCTCTGAGCATTAATCTGGCAAGAAGAATCAGAGTCAGAATTCATGAAAGTAGTTGTTGCACTGTGTTTAGAATTATTCTTAACTTGCTACATTTGTAGTTATGTGGATGAAATTTAAAGGGGAGTAAATCATCTGGACAGGTATGGTTTTTAGGTGTGTAGGTTATTTTGCTTTGGGCTTGAGTGCAGTTGCAGGGGATCAGGAAAGAATCCTTGTTGTGCAGTAAAGTCTGCCCAACTGCTTTGGGTTTGTTCTGGGGCCAAATCCCTCTTCTTGACATAGGTACCTCTTGGGAAGCTGACCAGATTGTGTGGCCATTTATTGGGTGTATCTTTTGCCTCAGGTAGAACTGGTGTTTCTTTCTGTAACTTGGGCCAAAGCTGTAGGCAGCTCCTTCCCTTCCTTCATTGGGTGGCTGCTGGGAAAGTTTTATCCTAATGCAGAGTGGGTGAGCAAATGACTAATGAGAGGAAAATTAAAACACAGAGTGGTATCAGTAAGGTAATCCTTTGGAATCAATGTGTGGTATAGCCAGAGGTGATGCTGTAGGCAGTCATCCCTAACTTTAAAATACCATTTTGAATTTAATGCTAAGGCTGCAAGTGGAGAAATTCTTTTTGTAATTTTTTTTTTTCTCCCCTTCTTTCTGCAGTTTGCTCATTGCCCACAGAGGTGAGTTAATTTCTTTTTGTTGTCCAAGTTTCTTCTTTGTTGTGTGATTCCTGACTGTGCTGATTCTTTTTGATCTTTCTGGGCTTTTCTTAACAGTGGCAGTTCTGTGCTTCAGCCACTGCCCTCTTTAGGATGGCAGGAGGTTTGTTATGTGCTAGTAGTAGTCTGTGTGTTCAGTCAGCTCAAGGAGAAGTGGTTGAGATGACAGCAAGTATATTTTAATGTATTTGTGACATATTTTGTAGTTACTCTGCTAAGAACATTCATGTGGCCTTTCTTCTCTAGTACTGTGAGTACATGCCTGATGTGACTAAATGCAGACAATGGTTAGAAAAGAATTTTCCAGATGAGTTTGCAAAACTCACAGTAGGTAAGAACCTTTTCTGTTTTCTAACTGGTATGTGCCCTTAGACATGTTCTGAAATCTTTAAGCTTGTCCAATTCTTCTCTTCCTTTTTCCCCTTGCATCAAGTGTGAAAGTTAATTGTTTTCTTAGGAGTCTACCCTGCTTTTGGATGCTGTGAAAATGTTTGTCAATGCCAGAAAACACTGAATAAGCAGTGTGTCATTTCAGTAACAAGGTTTGAGCTTGCTTAAGGTGCCCACTGTGACCAGTCATCCCTACACTGGTTTCCCATCAGTTTACTGGATTTATGTCTGTCCAGTCTACTGTGAGTGGCTGGAGGAAAGGTCACTGATAATAGGGAGCTTCTTCATTTGCATTTGGGATGTTAACAGTAACATTAATTTCTGTTCCTTTGTGGAAATTATGTGAAGGGACTGTGTTGAAATGGTAACTGGATCTTTGAGCTTAGGCTTTTCTGAACTGTAATTTGCATAAGGGCTCATAATGGAGATGTAACGTTTTGGTTGATGGGCTGCTGCATTTCAGCAAAGAGTTTACAGATTTAGTAGAGCATCACTGTACCTTAGCTCCTGTTCCTGTAAGGCTGTGGTTCTCTGACCACTGATTTTGTTCTCTCTTCTCCCCATGCTTTTCTGATGTATTGAAGAAAATTCACCTAAACAGGAAGCTGGGGTTGGAGAAGGCCAAGGAACTGCAGGAGAAGAAGAAGAGAAGAAGAAGCAAAAGAGAGGCAAGGTCTAAATAGTTGATTGTGGTACTGATTTATAAGCAGTTTGGAGCATCCCTGTCTCACCAGCTGCTCTGGAGTATGACACAGATTTCTTGTGGTTTGGTTGTTAGCTATGCCTTGACTCTGCCCAAAAGATAAAAAGATTTTATACTTTTAACCTTATCATCTATGTCTCCATTCACAGCTATGTCTCTTCCCAGCAACAGTGATGAAAAACATTTTCAAAAACCCAACTTTGGAAGATATAAAATATATGAAACCATTTAAACACACTTTTATCTTCTATTGTTGGAATTCTGTTTAATTAACACACTTTTGACCATAGATCAGAATGCTGAGGTTGTTAATGTGCATTTGCCTGCAGAGTGCCAGTTAGACCAGTTAACCATAACAGCCCAGTAAGATTCACATTGTAAGACAGATATCACAGAATCATTAAGGTTGGAAAAGACCTCTAAGATCATTGTCCTGCCATCACCCAACACTCCCATGACCACTAAACTGTGTCCCCAAGTGCCACTTCTACCCATGTTTAGAACCCCTCCAGGGATGGTGACTCCACCACCTCCCTGGGCAGCCTGGGCCAATGCCTCACCACTCTTTCAGGAAAGAAATCTTCCTAATATCCAATCTAAACGTCCCCTGGCACAACTGAAGCCTATTTTCTCTTGTTGCTGGTTACTTGGGAGAAGAGACCAACCCCCACCTAGCTCCAGTTTCCTTTCAGGGAGTTGCAGAGAGTGATAAGGTCTCCCTTCAGCTGCCTCTTCTCCAGACTAAACAACCCCAGTTCCCTCAGCCACTCCTCATAAGCCATGTTCCTCAGACCAGCTTTGTTGCCCTTCCCTGGACCCACTCCAGGACCTCAGTGTCCTTCTGTCACTACAGATGTTGGGTTTTTTTTGTGTCTTGGTAACCAGCTATGTTTGTCTGATCAGCAGGCTGTGTACAGTGATAGCAATAATTAACATTCTGTAGCTTGGCTGCTTTTCCCAGAGACTTCAGGATGTTTTCTTTCAATGTTAGTTTATTGTGTGGGGTGGTATGCTTAGTTTTCAGCCTGTTTTGTTCTAAAATAATAGTGTTCAGATTCTAGGGGAAAATCCCTCAATATTTTAAAGTTTCCTGAGAATTTGTGGTATGGTGTTAAGTGTGATAGTGTAACACTGATTGTAAGAGAAAGGATGAGGAAAAAGAAGCAAAAACTAAAACACTGCTGAAATTAACTGAAGAGATTTTAAGGCAGAAATTTCCTGTCTTAAATTATTGGATATCATTTTATTGTAATACAGAGTTGAAAGTGCTACATGTTAGAAAAAGAAGTAGTCTCAAGGGGTTAGTTTGTCATAAATTATTTAGGTTCTCATGCAGAGAAGGCTTGAGAACATGAAACTTTGGTTAGGAGTAACTTGATGACTGTGTATGGAGTTAACTGAGATCTTAATCTGACTTGAAGCATCCTAATGAGCAGAATATATCTTTTGTGTGCATTGCTCAGGCTAATAAATGCATGCTGTGTGAAGTGTTCCCTCAGCTGGGCCTAGGAACAGTAAGAAAGAAGTTAAATCATGTGGAAGCTGGGCAGTCAGCTACTGGAGCTGGCTGCTGTTGCAGAGGGTGGTTTCTGCTGGCTCAGATGTGGATTGTGTGGCTCACACTGGGGTCCTGCTCCCATCTCTGGAGCTTATTCTGCTGCTGAAGCAGCAGCCTGAGCAGGCACATCCTCATGGCCTCAGTAAGTTGCCATGCCTCAAACACAGACCCTAAGGGTGGTAAACTCACAAAAAAACATTCAAATACCAGTTTGTTTCTAGGATTACAAAGAGCAGCTCCTAAAAGAGGAGTCAGATGTAGAGCAAATGAGGGCAGTGTGGGGAAGAGCCCTGTTGTGCAGCCTGTACTTGAACACACAGCTGATAAGCATATATTGGTATTTCTCATAATACTGACCTTTGATGACAGGGCAACTCCCTTAAACAATACTGAAAAAAACCTGACTGTGAGACAGATGTGCAAAATACCTTTTTTGTTCACCAACACAGATGAGGAGGGAACAGTTTCTTTGTTTATTGGGATGAAATTTGACCTTACATGTTTTTTTCTTAGTTCAAGCATGACATTATTTAACTAATTATGTAACCTTATACTCTGTTTTAAAGGTGGAAGAGGACAGATAAAACAGAAAAAGAAGACTGTACCACAGAAAGTAACAATAGCTAAAATTCCTAGAGCAAAGAAAAAATACGTCACAAGAGTATGTGGCCTTGCAACGTTTGGTGAGTTGACTTCTGTGGGTTTTGCTGGTTTTAGATGTGCTTTCTTTTAACCTCATGGAATTTCTTCTGATTGTATAATTTTCAGTGATCTGAAAATGGTATAATTTTCAATTTCCTGTAACATAGGGGTACAGGTTTTTTGGAAACAGGGCTTCCCATAGCAGTCCACTGTTAGACTTCGGAGTAGTCGATTGTCTTTAATTCTAAACATGTTTATTATACTTAATTATCAACATGTGTATGTTCAAAAAGCTGTTTATGTCCATCAAACTTGTAAATATGTTATTGACAATTAATTCTACCTGCTCTTGAGACTAAGTAAGGCTTTAACTGCCTTTCTGGTACGGCAGTCAAGTCATTACTGACGAGCACTAAAATAGCTTTGGTTCAGGGCCCAACAAGCACTTGGTGTTTGTAATAACAAATTATTTCCCACATTCATGACAAAATCTGTTTTGAAGGGGTAAATTTTAACCCTGGTTGCATTACCAAGATACATTACATAGCTCTTGCATGACAATATTGTTGTTTTTCTGGAGGGATCAGTATTATGCACTAGCTCAGTCTGAACTGGATGTGCATCTTTGTGCTTGTAAAAATTGTTGGGACATGTTTCTGAAAGGAACATACTGAAATGCTTCTATGGAAAAGCTTTTTCAAGAACTATGGAAGTTCCTCACAACTGGAGGGGCTTTTTAATCAGGTCTGTACGTGCTGTCCTGGTGAGCGTGAGTAGCGTAGACCTATGTCCAGCTGCCACTGTTTTTCCCAACATTTAAAACAAGATTTTGGGTTTAAACTTGAGAAAATGCTTCTGTGACAATGACTGTACTTAAAGTGTCCATTTTCCCATCAACAGAAATCGATCTTAAGGAAGCACAAAGGTTTTTTGCTCAGAAGTTTTCCTGCGGTGCCTCAGTAACGGGAGAAGATGAAATCATCATTCAGGGGGATTTTACAGATGACATCATCGACGTCATCCAGGAGAAGTGGCCTGAGGTAACACACCCTTTCATCTCTGGGAACCCTGGTTTTCCACAATGCTCTCTGACTTTTGAGTGATTTGGAAAAAAGGTTTCATCTTTAGCAGCATGGATAGTTGTGCAAAAGACCAGTCATTGCTTTCCCACCTGTGAATGAATTAGTTAAGGAGTGATTAATCTTCAAGGCAAACGTTGCTTCCATTGTTCAAGAAACACAACCCCTAAACATGTTGTGCTGTTACTGTGGGTACTGCAGTGAGGAGGGCACGCTGGAGTAAGTCCAGCTGTCAAATATCTGGGGCTGCTTTTGTGACTGTTCCTTCATGGTGAGTGCCTGAGTATTCTTACAGTGCCATCCTATTTTTCAAATTTTCTTAAAATATTGCAGAATTTACAGAAAAAAAAGGAAACAAACCCACTTGAGCTTTAGAAGAGAAGCTCATTTTGGGTTGGACTGAAATGTTGATGGTTGAGAGGTTTGGCTGAGCTGCTGTAATCGCAGGTGGTTTCTTTGACTCTCCCTTTTTCTGGTATT